TTCTAAAGGAAATGTCAGAAGGGAAATTTTCATATGGATTCTCATTTTAAGTCGAGGTGAATTTTAAGATATTCAGAAGACAAAAATATTTTATTTCATTTTTGTGGAAAGGCCGTTTTATTAACATTTGGCAAAAAAGGAAATAATTATTTGCACCCTTTATTCTGTACCAGCTGATACTCTAAAGTCAGTGTGGCAAACTGACTCAAAGTCTCTCATGAGGACTTTGAGAAATAGCATGCCGTAGATACCATGTTGGGCCTCTGGGTGCCGCTGTAGGCCAATCCGTGGCTGGAATAAAGCAAAGCATTCTACCCGCGATTCTGACGCGGCGATTCCCGGGAGAAAGGATCTCTGCAGATTCTCTCTGCAGTCTGTTCCAAACACTTTGTCAGGACCATCAGGATATGTAATGACCCTGCTTGCAGCGTTGTCTTTTGTTTCCAGCGCACATTTATAATCCGGAAGAAGCCGTAGCGGGTGTATTGAGATGTGAGGAGCCGCGTCCAGAAGACCTGGAGAAGGCGCGCGGAGCGGCAGGAAGTACTGCGTCTCTTTATGCTGTCTTTGTTCTGTCTAGTGAATTACCTAGCAGATGCACTAGGAGATTCTGGAAGAGATTACCAAGGACTTCAAGATGGGCAATCTCGCCTAAGATCTGGGGTTCAGTATCCAGAAACCTAGGGGTGAGTGCTGGAAATCCTCTTACTAGCGCGAGCGAAGAGCGCATGGACGAACTTGGGAGTGACCTGATAAATTGAGCTGGTATCCCAAAGGAATTCTTTAGGCCCCTTGGATTTGAAACCTTCACAGAAAATCCTACAAAGGCTTTTCATATAGATGTATTCATTGTGTATATAAATGATAACTAATGAATTTTAGATAGACATTTTGTTTTGGAAATCTTAGAAAACGTCTTAAAGGGACAAAGATTTACTCCTGAATGAGCGATCGATGGGGCCACTAGAAGCCATTTTCTACAAATTGATCAGATTCATTTCAATAACCATCCCCATTCCTAAGTCAAGGAGAAAAGGGTAGTAAATCCTCTAAATTCCTGCTGGAGAAACCATGGACTGGGAGGAGTCGATTGGCCACCCTTTAATGATGGGAGGGGGAGGTCAGAACGTCTCAGGGCCAGATACAGGTCTTGGACACTAAGGACAATCCTACAGCGGAATTAGCCTGCAGGAGAACCTGCCTTCCACCTCCTCCTCTGCATTCTTCAGTTGATTTCCCTTGACCTAGATGAGGTGCTATATATGGAGTTCTACACTGTCTACAGAATCTCACAGCTGAATCTATTCAGCTCACTACCAAGTAATGAGGAGCTCTGGTGGCCTACTGCCTAGGGCATTTGACTGCTAACCAGAAGGCTGGTGGTTCAAACCCACCAGCCACTCCTCACAAGGAAGGTTGGACAATCAACTTCCATAGTGATACTGCCTCGGAAACCCAAGGAGGGGTCACTATGAGTGGAATGGGCTCCATGACAGTGAGTTTGGTTTTGGTTTTGGTCCAGTAATGACAGCACAATACGTGATTTTGAAGAGTCACAATTACAGCATGGAATAGAAGGTAAAGTGGAAGTAATTTGAAGGTCTGTTTCAGAATCCTGATTGAAATGGAGGCTGAGAACTATAATGCAGTGCAGGTGACTTTCATCTGGGAGTCTAGTCCTAACAGAAGCAACACTGGACTAGGAACTGTGGAACTGTGCCTATCACCAAAAAACCAGGACCAAGAGACCTACTTCAATGGAGAGGGGAAAATTATCGTTGAAAGAAATGATCTCTCTGTCAAAAAAAAAAAAAAAAAAAAAGCATCTTCGAGAATTACTATGTGATTCTATGTAAATTGCTGACAGATTCAATCTTAAACTGGGAGCAGATCTTGAAATACAGTGTCGCCACACAGTGTCTAACTGGGGCAAGCTTTTCAGCCTCCTCCAGCACAAGCATCACCCTGCACATCACCCACATCAATAGTAACGTTGCTCCCGTCTTCCAGGAGGCCTCCTATCTGTCTCAGGAGGCCGAGAACGCCGGCCCAGCGCCTCCATAGCACACTTTAGCGCTTCACTGCGAGATCTGGATCCCAATAACTGCGCTTCCTACTTTTTCGTGGCCGCGAGTGCTGTCGTTCTACGTGTGGGTGAGCGGCCAGTAAGATGGTTTGCTCGGAGTATCTTTGAGCTGCCTCTAAGGGTCCGTGAGCAGGTTTGGACCAGGCTCAGATTCATTCTGAGCCTGCCTATGACGGTGGAAAGGCGGCGAGGATGTGGTACATGGCAACGGAGCCCGATGGCGCTGTCCTCTTGAACGTGGCGTCTTGCATTAGACAACACGTTTACCTGGTCATCCACATAGGTGCAAACTGGGGCGGAACGCCTGCTTTGACATGTGCTGCCTCCCAGCTAATCCTGGTTCCTTCCACCTGGGCTTACATACGGGCGAACACGCACTGTATCGCCGCGGGCGGCAAAAATGCGGCGAGCCACGGTTTGCTAGCAGTTGTGCGCAATGGCGGCGGCAGCCCTGCTGCACCTGGTTTTCGCCGACAGTTTGCGGGAGCTGTTGCAGGACCTCAGCAACTGATCCTCACCCTCCTGATCCGCACCTTCCAACCGACAGGCCGAGCTGCATGCAGTTTTCCTTGATTTTAATCTTGGTCTTTGTGCTCTTCCTTCTCGCTGCGACTCTGGCGATCGCCATCACCTGCGACGCTCCTCGGGGGCTACTTTCTGCCTGGCTCCAAGTCTGGGGCTGGAGTTGCCCCCATTATGGCTAGAGAAATTTGCCCTATTGCTGCAATCTACATATTGCTTCGCGTGTTTCATAGTAATTTCATTTCTTCAGGTTGACCCAAGAAACGTCTTTCAACTGGATATTCTTCGTAGTGCTACTAATGAAGCCTTAAATATTGCATTGGATTCAAATGTATCTTTCCGTGTGAGTTTCCACATTTTTATTTCCTGAGTATTATCTTTTTATAAATTAACCCTGCTTTTTTTGTTGTTGGTGGGAGGAGTGTTCTACAGGTTTCCTTGCTAGCTTCTATGTTTATTTTTATTTCCATTATTAACCTGGACAAATTCCTCCAAGAGAATGTTTGTGCCTAATAATAGACATTTTGAATAGTTACATTTCGTGTTAATGGGACCAACCCTTGCAATATTGAAACATTTCACTGCATCTTTAAATTTCTAACCTTTAGCTCCATATACCTGTGTTTGAGAAGCCATTCTACAAGAACAGAAATTTTCTTTCTGAGGGAAGAAAGGAAATAACCAAAAGTCACAAGAAAACTGTTCTTGTGACTTTGGGTTATTTCCTTTCTTCCCTTGTTTTCCTGGCCCTTCTCAGTCATGATGTCCCTGGGTGAACTACCAGCATCTGGCCCTGTTTGTTCATGTAAATGCCAAACTCTGGAATGCAGTGAGTCTTTCCTAGCTTTTGAGTAAAGACCAATAAATAAATAAAACATTCTATTCACCATCTTTTAGTAATATTGAAGTAAGTTACCAAAAAAAAAGCCAATGTACCCAGCTTCCTAGTTGGGGAAAAAAAAAAAAAAAAACCCTGCAATTTAAGAAAACAAACTTCTCTTGAGGAAAATATTAAATGTGATAATAAAACAAAAAGCAAGCTCACTGCCGTAGAGTAGCATCTGACTCATAGCAACCCCTCCTTGGGTTTTGGAGGCAGTATCTCTAGGGAAGTAGATTGCCCAACATTCCTTCCAAGGAGTGGCTGGTGGGTTTGAACCACCAGCCTTCTGGTTAGCAGTCAAATGCCTTAGGCACTATGCCAACCGAGCTCCCAAATGTGATGATAGTAAAATACACATTATTCTAATAGCATGTCTAAAAGTAAGAATCTGGCCTTTTTCTTTTCAGCTTTGAGGAGTAATGATCACTCCCTCTTTAGGCTCTTAAATTGGAAGTCTAAATTATATATATATATATTGTTGTTGTTGTTATGTGCCGTCGAGTCGTTCCCAACTCATAGCGACCCCTCCTTGGGTTTCCGAGGCAGTATCACTACGGAAGTAGGATTGCCCAACCTTCCTTCCGAGGAGTGGC